CTATAGTTAATTAGGCTTCTCGCTCCCGCTTCTTATCCATGTAACCTTGTTACGAGGATAAGAACAACCTTGTTCGTATCCTTGTTCATGGATAACAACAAGGTTGTTATCCTTTAAGGTTGTTATCTTGGGTTAAAGCCCAGAAGTCATTTTTTCAGATTAACTCGTAAAACTGTCTTGTTCATTATGAAGTGTATTACAGTCTTCCTGTTCTTTAATGTTTCTCATTTGTTGTGTATCATCAGCAGACACTGACGTGAAGGAACTGTCTTCCTCTTGAGTGTGTTGCTCTGTTATGTTGTTTGTAATTGTTATTGTTAGTACTCAAACTTTGTGGTTGACTACTTGAAAACTTTCTCCATTCTGATATTCCTGCTTCTCTGTTGTGTGTGTACTCACCTAGTTGTGTCTGCAGGATCGAGCATTGACTCTTGGATCCCGCCTTTCGAGCATCGGTTGTTTACAGCAATGACTCCTGTCCCATTTCCCTATCATACCTGGTTTTAAAATTATGAATAGTATTTGCTTCCATAACCTGTTCCTGAAGTGCATTCCATTTTCCCACTACTCTCACGCTAAAAGAAAACTTCCTAACATCTCTGTGACTCATCTGAGTTTCAAGCTTCCATCCATGTCCTCTCGTTCTGTTACTATTCCGTGTGAACATTTCGTCTACGTCCACTCTGTCAATCCCTCTGAGTATCTTATACGTTCCTGTCATGTCCCCCCTCTCCCTCCTTCTTTCTAGTGTCGTAAGGCACAGTTCCCTCAGGCGCTCCTCATACCCCATCCCTCGTAGCTTTGGGACGAGTCTCGTTGCAAACCTCTGAGAATTCTTGAGAATGTGTGTTGTGTGTGTGTGTGTGTGTGTGTGTGTGTGTGTGTGTGTGTGTGTGTGTGTGTGTGTGTGTGTGTGTGTGTGTGTGTGTGTGTGTGTGTGTGTTGAAAAAAAAGTTGATTGATTAACTGTTGAGAGGCGGGCCAAAAGAGCAGAGCTCAACCCCCGAAGCACAACCAGGTGAAAATACACACACACACACACACACACACACACACACACACACACACACACACACACACACACACACACACACACACACACACATACACACAATAGAGCCCAATAGGCTCTATTTTGTGTATATTGATAGAGCCCAATTGGTTCAGGAACCTGTACACCTGTTGATTGACGGTTGAGAGGCGGGACCAAAAAGCTAAAGCTCAACCCCCGCAAGCACAACTAGGTGAGTACAACTAGGTGAGTACACACACAGCAAATGTAAAGTTATAGAAATGGGATCAGGTGATAGGCGACCAAAAGGACAGTACACAATGAAGGGGGAACTGCCTACCTGTAACGATTCGAGAAAGAGACCTGGGAGTGGACGTAACACCTAATCTAACTCCTGAAGCACATATAAATAGGATAACGACAGCAGCGTACTCTACACTGGCAAAAGTTAGAACATCATTCAGAAACCTAAGTAAGAAGGTTTTTAGGGCGCTTTACACTGCCTACGTGAGACCAGTCTTAGAGAATGCCGCGCCATCATGGAGCCCCTGAGGTTTGCGACGAGGCTTGTCCCAGAGTTACGAGGGATGGGATATGAAGAGGGTCTGAAGGAACTGAACCTTACGACACTAAAGAAAAGAAGGGAAAGAGGAGATATGATAGGAACATATAAAATACTCAGGGTAATTGACAAAGTGGAAATAGAGGAAATGTTCACACGTAATAATAACAGACGAGGGGACATGGGTGGAAACTGGAAACTCAGATGAGTCACAGAGATGTTAGGAAGTTTTCTTTTAGCGTGAGAGTAGTGGAAAAATGGAATGCACTTGGGGAACAGGTTGTGGAAGCAAACTCTATTCATACTTTTAAAATTAGGTATGATAGGGAAATGGGACCGGAGTCATTGCTGTAAACAACCGATAGCTAGAAAGGCGGGATCCATGAGTCAATGCTCGATCCTGCAAGCACAAATAGGTGAGTACAAATAGTTGAGCACACACACACACACACACACACACACACACACACACACACACACACACACACACACACACACACACACACACACACACACACACACACACACACACAGGAAGCAGCCCGTAGAAGCTGTCTAACTCCCAGGTACCTATTTACTGCTAGATAACAGGATCATCAGGATGAAAGAAACTCTGCCCATTTGTTTTCCGCCATCGCCGGGGATCGAACCCGGACCCTAGGATTACGAGTCCCAAGCGTTGCCCACTCAGCCACAGGCCCGTGTGTGTGTGTGTGTGTGTGTGATCGTTATCAGTGGCTGTGCTTGCACTTCTGATTAACATGCAAATTATGCAGACAGTGAATTAGGGCTGTTTGCAATGGCTGCCAGCAGTGCTCCGCTGTATATATGGACCACCACCCCGGGAGCGCTCTGTCTGCCACCACCCTTTCCCCCCACCACCCCAGGACCCCCCACGACCCCCTCCTACCTCCCACGGCTGACCATTAAGAGCCGGATATATGCCGCGGACAATATACCTCTCACCGCCCCCCCCCCCTCCGGCAGTAATAGTGCCGACCGCTGGGCCTGTAAGACTGTCACTTAGTATAGCGAGCACCTATAGTGCCGTGAAGTGTGAGACGAGGTTACAACCTTGTGGACTGTGCTGTCTCACAGTGAGGTTGTGAAGGGATGACCTGCAACAGGTTACAGGATCGTTGAGGCAGGTCCATTAAGCAACTTAAGTGGGAAAAACGGCGCGAAACAGATGGAGTGAATACCGTGGCCGTCGTGAAGTAGATCCCGATGACCAGGTGGGACAAGGGAGCTATTGTCGCAGTTATTGTGTGAGCAATAGCTGAGACAGAGCTTAACGATGACGGTTCAGCTAGAGGTGTCCATCCGTCCAGGGGTGTCCTCCCGTCCAGGGGTGTCCTCCCGTCCAGGAGTGTCCTCCCGTCCAGGGGTGTCCTACCGTCCAGGAGTGTCCTCCCGTACAGGAGTGTCCTCCCGTCCAGGAGTGTCCTCCCGTCCAGGAGTGTCCTCCCGTCCAGGGGTGTCCTACCGTCCAGGGGTGTCCTCCCGTCCAGGGGTGCCCTTCCGTCCAGGGGTGTCCTACCGTCCAGGGGTGTCCTACCGTCCAGGAGTGTGCTACCGTCCAGGGGGTGTACTCCAGTCCAGGGGTGTCCTTCCGTCCAGGGGTATCCTCCCGTCCAGGGGTGTCCTTCCGTCCAGGGGTATCCTCCCGTCCAGGGGTGTCATTCCGTCCACGAGTGTCCTACTGTCCAGGGGTGTCCTTCCATCCAGGAGTGTCCTACCGTCCAGGAGTGTCCTACCTTCCAGGGGTGTCCTTCCGTCCAGGAGTGTCCTTCCGTCCAGGGGTGTCCTCCTGTCCAGGGGTGTCCTACCTTCCAGGAGTGTCCTCCCGTCCAGGAGTGTCCTCCCGTCCAGGAGTGTCCTACCGTCCAGGGGTGTTCTTCCGTCCAGGAGTGTCCTTCCGTCCAGGGGTGTCCTACCTTCCAGGAGTGTCCTCCCGTCCAGGAGTGTCCTACCGTCCAGGAGTGTCCTACCTTCCAGGGGTGTCCTTCCGTCCAGGAGTGTCCTTCCGTCCAGGGGTGTCCTCCTGTCCAGGGGTGTCCTACCTTCCAGGAGTGTCCTCCCGTCCAGGAGTGTCCTACCTTCCAGGGGTGTCCTTCCGTCCAGGAGTGTCCTCCCGTCCTGGAGTCTCCTCCCGTCTAGAAGTGTTCTACCGTCCAGGGGTGTTCTTCCGTCCAGGGGTGTCCTACCGTCCAGGAGTGTCCTTCCGTCCAGGAGTGTCCTTCCGTCCAGGAGTGTCCTACCGTCCAGGGGTGTTCTTCCGTCCAGGGGTGTCCTACCGTCCAGGAGTATCCTTCCGTCCAGGAGTGTCCTACCGTCCAGGGGTGTCCTACCGTCCAGGGGTGTCCTACCGTCCAGGGGTGTCCTCCCGTCCAGGGGTGTCCTTTCGTCCAGGGGTGTCCTCCCGTCCAGGGGTGTCCTACCGTTCAGGGGTGTCCTACCGTCCAGGATTGTCCTTCCGTCCAGGAGTGTCCTTCCGTCCAGGGGTGTTCTTCCGTCCAGGGGTGTCCTACCGTCCAGGATTGTCCTTCCGTCCAGGAGTGTCCTTCCGTCCAGGGGTGTCCTACCGTCCAAAGGGTGTCCTCCCGTCCAGGGGTGTCCTACCGTCCAGGGGTGTCCTCCCGTCCAGGAGTGTCCTTTCGTCCAGGGGTGTCCTCCCGTCCAGGAGTGTCCTACCGTCCAGGAGTGTCCTCCCGTCCAGGGGTGTCCTACCGTCCAGGAGTGTCCTACCGTCCAGGGGTGTCCTCCCGTCCAGGAGTGTCCTACCGTCCAGGAGTGTCCTCCCGTCCAGGGGTGTCCTACCGTCCAGGGGTGTCCTCCCGTCCAGGGGTGTCCTACCGTCCAGGGGTGTCCTACCGTCCAGGGGTGTCCTCCCGTCCAGGAGTGTCCTACCGTCCAGGTCCAGTGTCCTACCGTCCAGGGGTGTCCTCCCGTCCAGGGTGTCCTACCGTCCAGGGGTGTCCTACCGTCCAGGGGTGTCCTCCCGTCCAGGAGTGTCCTACCGTCCAGGAGTGTCCTACCGTCCAGGAGTGTCCTACCCCGTCCAGGGGTGTCCTACCGTCCAGGGGTGTCCTCCCGTCCAGGGGTGTCCTTCCGTCCAGGGGTGTCCTCCCGTCCAGGGGTGTCCTACCGTCCAGGTGTGTCCTACCGTCCAGGAGTGTCCTCCCGTCCAGGGGTGTCCTTCCGTCCAGGGGTAT